CTTTTACCAACAAATAGTGGGATTGACCGTCACATTATAACGCCCCCCCGGCTAAAAGGGCGAGCATGATTGGTGTGACAGGGATTCGAACTTGCGACCCTCAGATTGCGAGTCGAGCACCCTAACCACCTGGCCATGCTGGGCTGATATGTATTATGATTTCGTACAGTGTGTGCTTACATCAACTCTACTGAACAGTCTCTATGAAACAGAATTCAGCTGCAGGAGGAAGGAACTTTAGTTAGGCAGTATGGTTTTGTATAGTGTGTGCTAAATTCAACTTTGCTGTATAGACATTGGCTGCAGGAAGAGGACACATCAGATATATAACACAGCTGGAGTACAACTTGTTGCAGATCTCCCCATCTCTCTCAATTTTATCAATATTCTTCTGTTTTCCAATGCAATTAAGTAAAAGGATATCCATTTCTTTGAAATTCTAAATCCTCAATCTGAACAAGTCTTTATGATCTTAGGATATGAATGAATTGCATAGGAGAGGGTTGTTACATACCTTTACCAAAAGTTTTTAATGTCATCACACAACCTACAAAATGCCAAACAATGTCAAAATATAGTTAAGATACTTGCATTTCACAGGCTTTATACAAGCTGTAGTTGTCACATGATTATCATATTCAAAATCATTTTAAATATAACCTACTCAATCCTCATATATTACTAGAAAACATATACTTTCTCTGTATTCTGGAAATTAAGAAAAAGTTCAGTTTAAAATATTTTGGAATATTACTTCATCTTTAGTTAATATACAGCATAAAAAGTAGTATCTAGATCAATGGTTTTCAAACCGTGTGTTGTGAGGGTTTCACCAAAGGAAGAATTATTAAGAACATAAAGAAAACTCTACAAAATAATACAGCATGTGGCAGCAAGGGTGTCTTGCAAATCAAGGTAATTTGGTTAGTGTGTCATCAGTGAACCAATGATTTAGGTATTTGATAGTGATAATTTAGCCATTAACAAAAAAAAGTAAAACAGTGCAATGATATTTTCAGTATTGATTTTTAGTTCAAAAAATATATGTTTTATCTGAATACAAGAAATACAGAAGCACATATTAATGTACCTCAAAATTCCATAACACACTCACTAACTTGTGGTACTAAAAAAAATTGTTCATAATGTAGTTTTTTCTTTTTCTTTTAACATCCAAGAAATGGCATAATCAAAGTTCATCACTCTTTCGTTTATCAGCCGGAATACCATTAGAACTGCCTTTTTTCTGTGATTTGGCTTCTTCCGAGGTTTTTAAGGAATCTGATGATTTGTTATTGGCTTCTTCTTTTGCCTTAAAGAAATACATATAAGGACTTTATAGCAATACATATATATATATTTACAATACAAGTTGAAATACCTGTCAACCGATGGGGAATTTATAAACTTAATTAAAACAATGCAAGTTTAACAGCAATCATATGTTTTAAAATAATAACTTGATCATAAACTTTATCTCAAAATTTTAACAAAATTTCTTTATAAACAACATTTACAGTTTGCTTTCCATCTGCCAACAAATAAAGATTCTGAGGTGATCCTACCCTTGAACACCCTACATATCATTGACCGTGAGAAAAGCTGGTTGTTTGAGAAACAATCTCCAGCAACTTTCATACTTTGACCTTGAATCCATTTAGAATATTCAACATTGTCTAAAGCATCAACCTGCCAAGATTGTTTGAGATTGACTCAATAGTCTGGGAGTAATTATCCAACAGGCTTTGCAAAATAGAAATAGGGTTGAGTTAAATTTTGACCCGATTAGGACATTCCCCATAGTTCATAGCATTTACATACAAATTTTGGTTGAGATTGACCCAATAGGCTCAGAGGAGTTAGGGCACAAACAAACACGCATTTCGTCTTTACATATATATATAAATATGTATACCAGCCATATGTACTCTGTGGTTACTTCTCATTTCTACTCTTACCAAACATGGCACAAACATACTCTGTTTTTGGCACAAAAACATTTAATTTTGGGCACCTACTTATCTTATCAAACTTTTATGATGGAAATATTTTATTTCGAGTTTCTCTCTACATTTCCAATACTTTGAAGAGATGTTACACACCAAACAAGTATATAGTTAGGATTTTAGAAATGGCATCTGCAATTCTTAAATATTTGGGGAGGGGGGGACCAAAAAACGTTTTTGCTTTCCCTCTCAAACCACAAGTTTTCATACATTTTTCTCTAGAGTTCTAAAAAAGTTATTATTAAGACATTCAATAAAAATTCTTTTAATTACTGGCTATTTCATTTTATTCAACTACACATTTAGCAACACTTATCTACTTAGCAATATAACGAATATCTAATGATTAAATTCAAAGAAACTTGGTGATTTAGATATTTTCTTTTGTCCATTGTAAAAAATATTACGTAGTAAGTGCATACACTTGAAGCATGTTTACAGAAGAACGCTGTAACATACCATTATAGATTTACTAACAATGAGATTATCACAGTTAGATTTCTTTGGTAAAGGAGTAATAATTAAGTATCTATACTGATAATTATTGATTTATGCCAAACATATCCTATTTAAACAAGTACATCAACTTCTTAGTTATGACTCCACTTTGATTAAAACTGTTTCAGGATTATGTATATTGTTTGTTGCAGGCAGGAGAGTAGTTAAGGAAAAACTAAACACAAAAATTATCTTTCCTGATTTATTGCCATCTTCAAGACTTGATGAAAGAACTTTTCTATAGCTACTTTGCATTTGAGATAATTCAAAGAGTTCTCTACAAGAAATCATAATTTCCCCCGACCATTACACAAACAATGAAGAGGAAGTTTTCAACTCCATGTCTAAGGATTATGGTTACAGAATCAATTTGTGTAAGTACTGTAATGAAACTTATTCTTACGAAACACGAATAACCATAATATACATGCATGACTGTTGCTGGTTATGTGAAAATAGATAGATTTAAAGCATCCACAAAAGTTCTCTCTTTACTTCTGTAGGTCTAACTTTACAGAATTCAACATTATTATTCTAGTTAAAATATTTACAAAAAAGATTATGGGTTTAAAAAAGTCATAACTTATATTTTCATAATAATAATAATAATATCAAATACATTATAAAAAAAGTTACAAGTAAACTGCTACACTGTTTCATAATTGATCAAATATCATTGAATCTGCTGTGCATGAAAATGCAGTTTATTTAGGGTAGGTATGAAGAAGTCTAATTAAGTACCCGTTTCTCTAAAATTAACTAGAAAGAACCAAGGTTTAAAACTACATAAAGAAGTTTTACTGGAGCACGAGCGTTAATCATCTATGGAGCAATTATCTAGTTATTATGTGCTGTAATAAACAGACTAAACACAGGTCTAAAACTTTGTTAAATTTAGAAAATAACAGGGACTGAAGATTTAAATTAAATTATCTGTCACATAATTTCTTTAACAAGATGTAATAAACATAAAAGGCATATGCTACTGTAAGGAAAAGTTGTAAGAAAAATAAAATAATTTGTAGAATGGAATTCAAGGGAGAATGAGTGAAGAGGGCCAGCCTCATAAAAAGACTGAACCTAAAGGACACTCAGAAAGAAGGTATTCTTCTCAGCAGAGTACTTCTTAACCCATGATGGCATTTAATTTAGGCAAAGGAATTGGCTTTGTAAGCAGTAATTGGTGTATTTGAACCAACTCCTTTGCCTGAATTAAATGCTCTTGCATTAGAAGGTTTTCAGGGGAGCAGCCCAGAAAATAAGTACAAAAAGAACAAACTCTAGAGACAGTAGCTGTTCTTAATCCATACCAAAAATGGCCAGTTAGAGACACAACCAACCAAGTTAGTGGACACTCGTGGTGAACCAAAGAAAGACCCAAGAAGTCCCTATGCTAGGACTGAACAACATGAGGACAGTGCAATGGAAACACTAAAACGTAAATAAATAAAAATAAAAAGATAGATACTCTTCATCACAGTTGGAACTGAAACATTTGGTGAAAACTAGTCCCATTTCTACATAGTTGGAACTGAAACATCCGGTGAACAGTAGTCCCATTTATACATAGTTGGAACTGAGACATCCGGTGAACAGTAGTCCCATTTCTACACAGTTGGAGCTGAGACATCCGGTGAACAGTAGTCCCATTTCTACATCTCTAATGCCATGCAAGGATGTGCATACAAAGGTGAGAAAGGTACCTGCCAAAGCATCATCAGCCACCAAATGACACTCTCTGTTTTACTTTTAAAAGTCACCACCCTCTCATAGAGCTCCAGAATAGAGTTTGAAATTTTATCTAGGATAAACACACAGATATGGGTGATTCCAAACATGACAGGTATCACAAAGAAGAAACAATCAAATAATTTCTCAACCTCAGACACCCTTAGATTTGTGAACAGGGGAATTGGGCAATATAAAAATATTTGGGCTACGTAGCACAATTGTAGAGGTTAAAGAAAATTAAAAAGTTCTGACTGGATGAATCAATATAGATTCTCAATGCATAAGAAGAGACTGCATTTAGTTATTGTATCTTTCTTATTTTGTACTGTTTCTTCTGAACTTAAAATCATTTACAACCTCAGACACCCTTGAAATGGTTAACAAAGGGTGTTAGGCAGAACATACAAAAACTCACAAGAGATGGATTCCATTGAGCCTGAAGAATAACCTGAAACTGAAGATACAGCGATAGGATGAAGGTAAAATATGCAGATTTATCCCCATGCTGGCCTGCAAGATATCTGCTAAAAGGCACAGAGGCCAAAGACATCACCAAATGGTGACTATGATGAGATGTAGCCTGAAATCCAAGCTTAAGACTGGTTTGGAACAACATAATAGATAAGACTGATCATCTGCACAAACCATTCATTAATATAGAACAAGAATTGCCATACAATATAAAAGAAACTGTTAATTCGCTTGAAAAGATTCTTTTCTTGCAAAGTAGGAAGAAACAACCCTGATAATTAGCCATTTAAAACATTCATCAGAAGGAGAATCAGAGTCAGATAGAGTAGGTAATGCAAAAATAGAAAAAAAACAACAACAGTGGTGACAATCTCTCAAAGTCCAAGTCTCTGGTAGGAAGGCTCAAATTGGATATAAGTACAGACTTCCTGTTTAAAAAAAATTGGTAGAATGAACAAAGGTTCAAAAGGAGAGCCAGGCAGCTTAAGACTAAACTTAAATCTCACTGTGGACAGTGTTGAGGCACTTATGGGAGACACAATGAAATTAATTTGAAAAAGAAACTGAAAAAAGTAAGGCCCACAGAGGCACATGACATTTGTGGCATCTCAATATGACAGTGTTCAGCTTTGTAGCCTGCAAAAGAAGCAGATAAAATAGGTACATAAAATAAAATGAAGGACGCTATTAATAAGTTGGACTACAACAAAGATCACTATGAAAGATGTACAAAATACAATGGAATATGATCTCTGAGAAAAACAAGAGGAGTGAAAACCGTGGTAGAGTAGGCCAGAATGGGGCAATAAAAAGAATTGGACAATGGAATCAAATGATCTTGGCCAATACCTGAGAAAGAAAATGAAGACTGGCTCAAAGCATTCACTGCTACAAAATCTAGACCCAGGAAAAGAAACTAGTAGAGCACCATAAGATGATGCATTGCCACCATGAAAGCAACAAGCACATGATGACTGAACCAATGAAATACTGGCTCTGAGAATAATATGATGTGAATGTAGTAAAACAAATAGAGCAACCACAGCAAACATGAAATCAAATACCATCATGCCTGTTGATATATGTCACCACAGCCAGAGTGTCCGAGTACTTCAACACAGTGGTGTTGTAACAAGGGTGGGAACTCATGACATTTGTGTGGAACAGCTCAAATCTCTAACATGAAAATGGGATATCTAAGTAGGTACAGACCTTAAAGATAATGGTCCTCTAACACATCATCCTAGACATTAGAGAAAGGCATTAGTGAAAATATTCAGATCCAAATGAAGCAGAAGAAAAGAACATACAATAGGAAACTCGCAAATGAGCCACACTTGATGGTTATCAAGAGCAGCAGGAGAAATTCAAAAGATCTAAGAATATAGAGTCCACAAAAGAGTAAGATGGCACTGATGGTTTCTGAAGCATAAAACATCAGCATAAGAGCATGTACAATAATGCAAATATATGTATAAAACTGTTCTCACCTTTTGGCTGTATTTGCCATAATATGGTTTATTTTCAATGGTAACCTCCTCTAACCTCTCTTGATTTATAAGGTAGTCCTTAGCATCCCATGCTTGAGAGCCATCTTTAAACATGAATATGGCTCTGTGATCATCTACAAGAAACCTGAAGAGAGAGAGCTTGAAGTATAAGAACATGTATTTTACACTTAAAATATATATACATTTCTTACATGCATAAGTGTTTACAGATTGAAATAAATCAGTATTGTGTAATATGCATAATATAAGTTTTCTATGTATAAATTTTATAACATTTACTATTTTTAATATCATAAGCTTGTAGCAGATTATTACTTTTTATCAATATATAAACTAAAGTTACAATTTCCCAACCTTGTAAGTTTTCAAATCCACATATATATAACTTTTGTGTTAATATTTTTCCTCATTTTCTATAGTAAACTGATCTAAAAATGTAAGCAAAGTATTTAAATGTATATTTAGTGATTTTTTTGCATAACAATTTGTTTTAAACAAGAAACTTGTGAAAGGTATACTACTACTCCAACAGGTGTATACAAGTCCACATACACAGAATATATATATAGTTGGTGTACGTATAGCTCTTTACAAAGGATACAATGCTGGCATAAAGACAGAAATGGTTTATAAGTTATTCGTTTACTCCTAATACTATTCAACACTTTTTTTTTTAACATCAAACAGCTAGTTTTGTTGGAATATATAGCACCTGTACAAAGATTTTAACAGATGCTCAGTTTTCCTGTTTAATGAAGTACAGATTGGGAAAAACCTAAAAATATAAGTAAGTAGCTTCTTGTAAACCAAAACAATTTTGGTAAATAAGTTATTACCATGTTCTTTACTTTGTAGTGAGCTTTCAGCTAGTGTAGTGCTACCCATTTTTAGGCTTAACAAAACTGTATTATTAAAACCACAAAGAAATATGGAAATAATACGATAATTCAAGAAGAGTTGCTAGTGCATAAGATGGCTGATAACAACAATAATAATAAAAACAATGTTGAATACAAATTCATAGTGCAGAAGACACAAGTTTCAGAACTTAAGATATAAATTTTTAGAGTAAAACAAAAAAAGTATAAAAAAATATGACGTAAATACATCTCCACAAAAACAACAACTCAGAAACCAGGAAATACACATATACATTTCAAGATATGTGATTCATTATACTCCTTGATCTGTAATACTACTGATGAGTAGTCACCATACCTAAACTTCTTGCAAGAAAACTACTTCAAACCAAAAAACAAATGTCTTCGTAACCTTATAAAAAAAAAAAGTTAAAACACAAACCTCTTGATAGCGTACAAAAAATTGTGTACAATTTCATATTTATTTTAATATCAATTTTATAGTAACATTACATGTAGACATATATAACGTTTTGAATAATAACACAAATATGTTAATGTAATCAAAATACAAAACTTGTTCTTAAAATCTGAAAATGTTTAATTTCAGTCTAAACCCAAAATTAAATCAAGAAACATGTTACTTAAATAGTTATGAATCAATTTTTTTTATGAAATACAGTACTACAAAGTGAGAAGAGTCAATTTTGTTGTTAAGTATAAGGTTTAATGAATATTTTAAAAAATATATTATTTTTATCATGTCTGTGCTATTGCAGTGCTGGTTGTAAACTTTAATAAAACTTTCTAATCTCACTTTAAACTGTGAAATAAGTTACATAGAGTACTGTGTACTATAGGACCATAATATACAGAAACATACACACCATTTCACACTACCAACAAATTATAGCAAGTACTTACCGTTCTGCACTTATATGGTTATTCGTCAAACTACTTTGCCATAATTTTGTTATTTCTTCTAATTCGTCTTTACTTGGATTACCTGAAAACATATAAAAAGTGCACAATTAAGTATATTCGCAATGCCTAAGAAAAGTATCAGATCATAAAATATAGTACGTATTCAGAGTATCTTTCGTTTTTGGAGTTGGTTGGTGAAAAGTGATGTACCTCCAAATATTATCTCATACTGGTCTGAGGAGATTGAATTTTTGAGAATGTGAAAACCAACTCAGCATGGTTAGAGAAAATACTATTACTCATTAAGCTGAAGTATGGACTCACTATACAAATATAATGATAGAACAAAGAGCTGTTGGATATGATCTTTATCACATGTGACATTAAAGGCACCATTCTACAAGATGTAGAGGTTAATATGTTCACCAAAGTTTATTTATGTTCTCAACATATTTCCACCTTTGTCATGTGTTATGTTCCATTATGAAAATAGGGTTGAATATGGTTCTTTTTGCAAGAGCATAAGCTTATTTGTCTTATTTTTTGACATATGTAAAAAGAATAGTGATATACTGGTGACCCATTAGTAGTAAGATTCAATACACTGTGGGTTTGAGCACCTGAACATATGCCCCCCCCCCTTTTTTTTTGTAGTATGCTGTCTTCTTTATTCATTGGATGAATTATATCTGACAGGTGGAATATTCCAACATCTTTTAGGGTCTTTCACTCCTGACACTTTCTTCCAAAGTTGTATCATGTACATGTTTACTAATGGTACAATTCTGATTTTATTTGTTAGAATTAAATTTTCTTATTTAATCAGGATGTTATGTAGTACAGTATCATTGTATGTGGTGGTGTATTTTGTGTATAAGCTTAATGACCAATCATCAGATATGAGCATGGTGATTAAGATTATTTTATAGTATTGTCTTTTGCCTTGTTTCAACTGTAATATTACAAATTCTAATTATTTTTTCATACTTTCAGCAGTTAAGGATAAGTCACTAATTGTTTGGTGTTTCTAAACAGATGTTAAATGCCATAATTAATAGTCTTGTAATATTTTTCAGAGGTTGTGATGTAATCTACGTACAGATCATTTCAACTAAATGGTTTATTTTATTTTAGGTGTCAGTGTGTATTTGTGTACTGAATGTTAACTGCTAGGATGCTACAGTTAACTTACATAGTGTAATGTGAATACCCCAAAGTCAGTAAACTATCAGTTAGAAGACTGTTGGATAGAAACATTCTATTTAGGTTTAGGTTTAAGAAGTGGGTTAAATCTTTATGTAAGTTTGTCTTGATGTACAGTTTATTTATATTTTGTCATAAGTACAGAGCTATTGTTCCATCCTTATTGGCTTATGAGAAATCTGAGTATATTTTGTATTGTTTCCATGTTTTTTGATTGACAGTTAGATACAGGTAAAATTACATGTCTAAGCTATAATGGTTTTATAGATTTGTAGTATGAATTTTGTTCTTGACGTAGCAAGATGTCTTTCATTTGAGACGTAAGGCCACTAAAACGACAGAATACTGCATCCTTTTTTTTAACTTTTTAATAAAGGGTTTAAAAAACTAACAAACTTGTTTTCCATGTTGAAATAACTTTAACCTTTTTTTTTGGTCTGATTATTTCAAAGAATTTCAGCCTTTCTGACTACTTGTAATGAGTAGGGTTTACCCTTTCGCTAATTCAGTGAAAAGCTGTATTTCAGGTTAAGGAGATTTATACATAATATGTTTGTAGTTGGAATAAAGACTCTTGGTTCTTTTCCACTGTTGCATACACTGTGTTGAATTTTGAAACAAAATAACACAATGGAGTCATCTATAAAGTCCATTGATTATAAATAAACCATCATACATAAGATATAAATATAAAACACTTTAATTAACCCTAGAATGCTAGCATTAAATTTTCAATCATTAAAACCAAGTGGTATGGGATCATAGTGACTCCACACTGGCATTCTAGGGTTAATAAAGTCACTAGATAATCAACCACCATAAACAACACGCACAAAGATAAAACACTGCCATTAATAAAGTCACTAAATTATACACCAGTATAAATAAAACGTACAAAGAAAAAACTCTGTCATTAATACAGTCACTATATCATGCACTGTCATAAACAAGAAACACAAAGACAGAATACTGTCAGTTACTTTTAATTCATGGGTTTAAATTTAAACTTTGCATGTAAATTTCTGTTAGGAAGAGATTGCCAGATCTTTATTCTTTGCCTTATTGGATAAATGGTAATAATGAAGTTTGTTTCTTTAGTATAAACATACTTGTATATTTATATCCATCTTGAGCTTTATGGGTAATTCAAGTAACTTCTTGCAAAGACTGACGGTGAGATTTGTCTTCACAGGTAATAGACTTTCTGAGATCTTTGCATAATGTTATACGCAAACTTTGGACCTCATTTGTTAACTCTTAACATTACAGGATTCTAAGGTCTATACAAATAAATATGGCTTGAATGTCTATTTCACCAATAAAACATACCATTGATAAATAAATTATCCATGCTCCTAACAATATTCAATACCGAAATAAAGTCATCTATATGCTTTTTTATAGATGGTTTAGGCAGTATGTTCATGGTGAATGAAAGAAAGGTGAAATAGGCAACAAATACTTACTTCAGTGTGACAACCATAGAGATAATCTTGAAGCACTAGATATCTATAAAGTTAACACAAGCAGGTTGGTCAATGTTTTGAAAGCCATAAGAAATTTAATCCAGTCTTCATGCACTACCTTTGTTGATCTTTAGTTCTCCCAAGACTATCTTGACAGGTATCTCCATTTCATCTTTGCTTCTCATTAAGTCATCTCTATTTTCCAGTGATTTAAAGAAAAGTCTAACAATAACTTTCTTACTCTTAAATTAAAAATCTATATAAACACATCCCAGAGAAATAAGTGGTGCATAGTAATAAGTATCAAATTATGTAAACATACCTGACACTGAAACAAACATCATCAAAGTTCGTCCTTTTTTAGACATCTTTAATAGGTTTTCTGGATTAGAGGTATCCAAGTTGCTTAGATCAATCTTTGGAGATGGTCGCAAATGCTCTGGCAACTCATCTTCTTCCAAAGGCTCTTCATCTTCCTAGAACAAAACAATAACTGTGTGATAAAACAAAAAGTGAATTAATATTCCAAATAAGGTTTCATCTCCGATATCAGATCTGTATCTTAAAATCTAAAACTACTTCCAAAAACCACTTCAGCTCTGATTTGTTTTAAATCTACTAAATCGTTTGACACTATATATATAAAGACATCTTTATAAAATGAAAAATAAGAATTTCTATTACAAGAGTTATTGTATCTGAAGTACATTACCACACAATGTTAAATAATAATATTAATAAACAATTAACTCACAATGTAACACTGGATCATATAATTCCTACATTGCACTTCAGATGGCAGACATTCAGTTTTGTAACCAAACCTTTTAGGTTAGTGATACTGGATACAACATTAGTGTTGATAAAAATACTGGTGTTATTTTTGTATCAACTGATAAAGTTTATTTTTTTATAAAATTAAAAAAAATACTAATTGTAATGTAAAATTTGTCCAGACCACACCTAACTTTTGAAGATTATAGCAAATAGATGCTAGTTATTTTTTCTCCTACTAACAAATTTAGGACTGCTACTACCAGTCCTCTTTAAAATTTGCTGACTATGTCAAAATTAATCATTTCATGTATTAATTGTCAATAAATGTATTATATTTATTGGCAGAAATATTCTGTTTTATGTTTTCGTTTCAAATGTTTTTGAATATCAAAACTGTGTTTTCAACTATTTCACAAAAATTAAAAGATGTTTGACTTGAGTGGAAACTGGCTAGCATTAATTTTGAGCTTTGTTGCCTGATAATCTTCTGATACAATTTACTTGCAAATAGCCAAGTTTAAATAATAAATCAATGTAACATGGTTACACATTTTCTATAAGTTATAAAATGTAACAGAAGAATAAAATGTTTTCATGAAATTAAAGCTTCTGGTTAACACTTTTAAATTTAGTCTTTAAGAAAACAGTATGACTGTTTTGTATATTACAATAACATACCATTAACTTTTTAAACTCGTAATTTTTTGCACATTCTGCAGGAATTATTTTCATGATTTCTTAATATCATGATTATACCTTATACAACTTAAACTTTCTTAACTCTGTAGATATCAACATGGTTTGGATTAGTTTTCAACCATAGAGACATAAGTGTTATCAGACACTGTCACTGTCCGATAGGTAAATTGGGATTTTTGACCAAATGCTGGCAGCACCCGCTCGGGTTTAAGGAGTTAATAATTTGACTGGCCGGTTTTATTTGACCCTTTTCATACTGATTTTGTGCTTTGGAGCCATACTTTGAATCCAAAAATTGTGTTTAAAGTAGATCACCTACAGCTAAAAGAGAATATTTTGATGTAATGTTAAAGAATGCATTAGCATATTTATGATGTGTGTTTGTCAGTTTTAGTATTCTTTCCATTATACTTATGTTAATTCCTTCTAAATAATTAGATCCTTCAAACACCTTGCATTTGAATCATTCTAATATCAACATGTTTTTAGCAGGTATATGGCAGTCAGCTAGTAAGCATGAAAATTATGTCCAGTAATTCTTACATTTATACTGGACATATATGTTAATACTGGTCACAAATAACGAGGTTTCAAATTAATTTTCCACACGTTTAGAAATAAAGAAATCTATCATTTCACTTTCTTCCCAATGCAATTTAAATCAAACTAACATATAAACATTTTTAACAGAATACTTAAAAGATAGGGAACCTCTTTTTAAGAAAATTATTTCAAAATGAAATGTAAAATATGTACACTGACAAGATTTTCTCATTGCAATATCTGATCAACAGAGCCAGACTTAGTATTTTAAATTGCATTTTTATAAGAAGTCTCAACAAAACTTTTTAAAATCAAATTTTATAAGATGAAGTATTCAACTAAATAGCTTAAGTTTTGTGCCATATTACATTGGAAAGACCTCAATGGTTCTACTTTTTCCCCATACCACAAATGTGAAATACTCATTTGAAATCCCACCATGTTCATGTTTCAGCTTTCACAACCAATACAAATAAAGATGACTGAAATAAATGTAAGAAAAGCTGGACATGATTCTCACATCATTAGCCAGTCAGCTTAGCAGGGTTTGCAGCTGATACCATAAAATCTAATTTGTATGTATTGACATCATCATATTCATTATATCCATTTTCATTCAAATTACTCTTGTAATATGATACATTACAGACTGCTTGTTTTGATACATAATACACCTATTATTCATATCTCCTTTGAAAATCTCATAATCACCAGATTATTTTCATTGTGAATGTGTTTTTATGATATTTTACCACTGTGTACAAATATAACTCCAACTCTTTAAGTTAATAAATAATCAAAACCAATGTTTCATATTTACACAATTTAAAAACTTAACTGAAGCCATCAGCAGCTTCCACTTTAAAAATACACTTTACATGTACAATGTTTCAATGTCTTCTACATCGTCTTCAGGAGTTATGCGCAAGACATGCTAATTTATACATTATTTTTTCTTGCCATGTGTCTTTTATATTTACATAATTCCTTAGTCAATCTTCATATTACATCACACCAAATATCAATGCTTTGACTTGATGGAACTTCATATCTGTTTAATATTTCTTTTTTAAATTTTATTATTTCTAGTGATTCTATGACATTTAAAGCTGCAATGTTACGAGGTTGGGGTAAAATTGTAGTTTTTCCCCCATAAAATTTTGTGTTGTGTTGTTTTTAGATGTTCTGAAATAGCCAAGTTTTCTATTTTATTATTTCTTACACAACCTTCATGTTCCTGTAATCTGTATTTTAAATTCCTTTTAGTTTGACCAACATAAATACTCCCACATTCACATTCTATTTTGTAAATCCCAGTTTTATCTCCTAATTCTATTTTATCCTTAGTACTCCCCAACATTTCTTTAATCTTATCTATAGGTTTAAAGATTGGATAAAAGTGTAGTTGCTTCTTAAAAGCTTTAAACAACTGACCTGTTAATCCTGGAATATAAGGTAAACTTAAAGTTTCTTTTTTGTTTTTTTCATAAACAGACCTTAACGTAGTATTTTTAACTAACATTAAACCTTTGATAAATTTCTTAAATGCTTTATCTACTATACTTGGTTCAAAACCTCTTTCAACACCTACATATTTAATTTATAACAATTCATTACTTAACTCTTCCTATCTTGAACATATTTTTAAAGCTCTGTAAACATATGTAATAAAATGTAGAGATTATTTTCATTTTTATATAACATGACTGTGTAAATATGAAAAGTCAGTTTTAATTACTTGTTAAATTTTAGACAATACACAAGTGCTGATCATTGATTTTATAAGCTCTTTCTCATCATGTTTTACATAATTTATAATGAATGCCCAACAAAAGTATATGGTTCTTTATATTCTTATGACTATTAGTATACACTGAAAGTGCTTACAAGTTACAGGGTCAATGTTAACAGAAAGTGACTAATTATTTGGGTAAGTTACAACTCTAACTTGTTTAAAATTACACATAATCAGGTGAAAACCTAAATCTATGTGTAGTGCAAAAACCTGTATTTCCAACTTACTGTTCAGCATGTTATTTTGTGTCAATTCCTTATGCAACTTACTTGTCCCCTTCATAATTTAAATAATACTCAAAAATTTTCAATAAGACTTATGTGAAGAGCTAGAGTATGTTTTTATATCAGAAAATAAATGTTACAATTCAAAGCTACAAGTGTAACAGTGAAGGCTTATAGTATTTAATTGGAAAAATATTAACACATTTTCCAGCATAAAATCACACCCTAGCACTTCACATTTAAATTACAGAGTTAGAACAAATTTTACTGAAAATATATTTGGTACTTATTTTAAATTATGGAGGGGAAAGGCAATACTAGAGTAGAGTTTACCAAAAACAGCATTAAATGGCAGGTCTCTGCACTACTTGTAATTTGCAAGTTACTCTTACACTTTCACATACTTAACAAAAACAATAACTGATACAAATTCGATGACGAGGAACCCACTTTGAGACTAATAATGGCTGGAGACGGCTTGAATGGGTAATGAAGAAAAAAAAAAACTTTAATATAACAGCAAATGTACAACGTTTCGACAAGGTTTTGTCATCATCAGGTACATCAGGGTTGTCTATTTCTTCCTCTAACCTGTTCGCGTTAGCATTACAAGAAGATGGATGTTAGGTTGTAGAACATCTGATGAAGTTTGCTTTACAAGAATATGGGCATTAATTGGTACAGCTGCTGGTGAGATTAACCTCACAAGAATA